ACCCGTTACCCCTTGTCCTGTCACTACAGGCCCTTGTAAAAAGTCCCCCCCCAGCTTCCCTGTGAATTGATACTGTTTGGTCTTTAGGGACGATGGTGCTGAAGCACAAATACTGAGTTACTTAAAGTCATCGCTTTGTGAACAAAACGGAAAGGAATAAAAGACAGAATTTCTATTTTTTATTTATTCGTAGAGCCTTATCCTTTGCTTCCTATAAGTTTTTAATCTTTTATAGGAACAAGTCCTGTACAGCAAGCTTTGCTTTCTGCATTTTTATTATCTCCTTTAACAAATACCCCAAGTAGTAAATACTCCACTGCTTTATTAAAAAGAAACAGACAAAAATGACCCCCAGAAACCCAAAGGAAAAGCCCCAAAACCCAAACCCACACACAAAACTCCCACAAATGCAAGGCAAACCCAAGGAAAACTGTTTTTATTTGAAGCATTAGTGTCTGTTTCCTTGTGGCTGTAGCTTGGAGACACAGATCAGCGTAGCCAATGTGGTTTTGGAGGAACTGGCAGAAGAAAATTTCCCAGTGTTTTCTTCAGTGGTTTCTTTGAACCCATATTTTCTGTTTATAAATGTTATATTTAAAAAATATTTTATTTAATTTCCTCCCCCTTTGTTCAGCTGTGGATATTTTGCTGCATAGTAAATGCAGCCATGTATAAAAATCCCCTGGTTTTGAATTCTAAAAATCTAAAAAGGTCTTTTTTTTCAGAAATCAAACCATTCCAGATCAGTTTTAACCTAGATATTTCAAACATGATTTGGTTTGAGAGGAACAGTTCTGTGAATGCTAACTAGAAAATATATCATCCCTCTGGGCAGATGCCATTAAATAAACATGTGTTCACTACTACATAAGAATATTATTTTTTCTAATGTGGCATATGCATGACAAGCACAGAAGGCTTAACTGTCAAACTTGAAAAAATATCTGTATAGCTAATTCTGTGCTTGCTCTTAAACTAGCTTTTGCATATGCTCTAAGTGTTGTTTTTCTGCATAAACTTCTTTGCTTTTGCTTTTAAATATCCAGTATAATACTAGGACTATAATAAGCCATGAAGTAATAGAACATCACTGAACCACTTTCAGGGAAATGATTTAAAGCAGAATATATGCTGATATAAATTAGACAGTACTAAAACACCGGACATAGGTCAATATAATTAATGATTAATTTGATTTTATTGAATAATTTTGGAGAATTTTCTCCTTTTTAGACATTCTGAATAGGCAGAACAGAGTGAAATGAAAAATCCCACCCACTGCTCTGAAAATGAGATCAGTTGAACTGCATTGTGGAAAAGGTAAATTCTCTTTGCAACCCGTCTGGAAGGGGAAATTCTGCAGGTGGTTAGGCAGAACAGAGTGAAATGAAAAATCCCACCCACTGCTCTGAAAATGAGATCAGTTGAACTGCGTTGTGGAAAAGGTAAATTCTCTTCTTTGTAACCTGTCTGGAAGGGGAAATTCTACAGGTGGTTAGCACAAAATCCAGTGTGCTGGACCTCATACTCTTAACATTAAAAAAAAGTATCTTTTAGATTGAAAGTTTCAGTTTTCTTGCTTTTATAGCTCTTCTGGACTTGAATAAACAAGATAGAAGAAATGCAAGGTTTGCTGCGTAGAAAGACATCTTTTAACACCTAGTAAAACCATCTTTAACCCTAAATTTTTCATTATCCTCTATCAATATCAACATCTCGCCAGGGTGAGAACAGTGCAGAAATCCTCTGTGGCTAAATCATCAGATTCGTTTATTTGAACTTTCGCCAACGGGCTGTTCCTGAGCCGAGGTTACTGGATTCTGATGCTGTTGTGCCTGCTGATTAATGCGTGTGGCAGTACGCTGTTGGGATGCTACCGTGTTAGTTTGTCAGAAGCGTTAGCTTTTACATGATGCGAACGAGATAAAGCCCCATTGATTTCACCTGCCTGTAGAGGAGCGGTTGTAGAGGGTGTTTGTCTTCTGGTCGATATTGGTCTGCTCTGGAGTCTTCCTTGTTCAGGTTCTCAAGGCAATGAGAGATCTCTTCTTTCTCCTCCTCCGTCTCCCGAGTCAAAATGAGGGTTTCAGGAGAACTTGGGAAGGTTTGAGCATGACATACCTACGGGATGATGTCAGGATGCTCTGCTGGGGCTTATTCCTTGAAGGAGAAGAGAGGGGAAGGAGCCCTGTGAAAACCATGTTCTGCATTTGTGCTTCCTTCCTCACCTCCTCTTCACCTTCAAACCCACTCTCTTGTGCAGCCAAATGTAACAATCACTTTGGGCCAGTGGGAATAAGAGCCCTTGCTATGAGCATAAATGCAAAACATGTATTAGACCTGAGCCTGTGATATTAGAGGCTAGGGAATAGGTTGAGGAGTTCTCTCTAAGCATTAGAAGCTGGTAGGTGTCTCAGTACTTGAGGCAAGCCAAGGGGAGAGACGTGGTTCTGGAAGAAAAGAAGAAATTCTTGCTTAGAGGTGAAAAATTTTGGTGAAGGTGATCTTTGGCATTTCCAGACCTTTTATCTAGTAATTCTTTTTTTGCGCTCTAGACTGTAGTTTGCTTTGTATCCTTGGACTGGCAAACTCTTCACTACAAAATTCAACAGCAAATAGTAGTGGTTATACCACTTTTTGGAAGGTGAGAGGATGTTGCGCTCTAGACTGTAGTTTGCTTTGTATCCTTGGACTGGCAAACTCTTCACTACAAAATTCAGCAGCAAATAGTAGTGGTAGCAGTAGCAAATAGCACTTTTTGGAAGGCGAGAGGATGAGTGGTTTCAGGGTTAACTTATGAAATCAGCCAGGCCGAAGACCTCAAAGATGAGCTTGGTTCAGCACATCCTCTTTCTGTTGGCAGCTGCCTATAAATGTCACGTCTTCTCTCCAGGCAAAGGTCTGTGCAGTCAGGGTACGCAGCATGGAAAGCCCCCCACCCCCCAGGGCAGCTTTCTGTGAGTAGCTGCTGCTGAGACTTCACGGCAGGGGCAAGGGAATGATTGCTTTTAAAAGGTCCACTGTAAACTTAAATATCATGGTCAACAGAGATCACGTTATTAGCAGCCTCTTCCTCTCCCACATGCTATACCATCAGTATCTAATTAATCAAATGTATCTGGGCTGTCAAACAACCTTGCAGTGATGTAAATCTGTGGCGACACTTTTTCGTCACAAAATCAGCTGTGACTTCGCATTTGTCTGTGTTACAGAGCCAAAACCTGATCCATTGAAACTGAATTGTTTGAAAGTTTTAGGCAGGTGACAGACAACAAAAGCAACTGATTTTACAGCAACTCGTGGTTAAGGTGACCCGTCACAAACACATGTATTAGCCATATTTTGGCCCTGTAGAAGATTGCTAATTTCTGACTTTGGAGTAGTACGTTTCCCTAAACCTACCAGAAGTGATGCAGAAATAAATACAGCACGTTGCATCTCTGGGCGGTTACTCGTTGGGAGTCCTACTTCCATAATCAGTTGCATCTTCTAATAAATTTTGAAAAAACAGGGCTTATTGGCGTTCTGGATATGGTTGATTTACTACTTAGGGTTTAAAAAACCCCCGGAAGTTTAATAGTCACAATACTGAGAGTTGTCTGAGATTGCCTGTGCTGTAGATTTTTCGAAGTAGTCGTCGCAGGGCTTCCTTAACTACCTCCATATGGCCAAAAGCATGCAGCCAGCCTTTAAGTGGGACAAAGAGTGTTGGAGTCTTAATGAAATATGCAGTAATCATCAGGGCTGTGTTAGCTCTTTACATTATTTCACACTGCTGCTTTGAAACAAAGAACAGGATGTGGCACATTTAATGCTTTCCCCTTGAGAATCTGCCGGAGTAAAGTTCAGTTTTTGACTCAAAAGGCAAGGGAAGCTGTTACAGAATTAAAGATGTGGATGCTGCCCAGATGAGCTATAAATAACCGATCCATAGACACCAAAACCTCTCCAATAGTCATGAAAATATAACTGTTCACCCCTACGACAGCATACTTGTCCTAAACCTTTCTCTCAGATTCAGTGGTTTGAGGGGTTTTCTTCTGCTAAGTAATTTAGCTATTAAAAAAAATAAAAGGGCAACCAGTTTAACTGAATTAAACTGGGAGATGCAAATAAGAATTGTACCTTGCAAATATAATTGCAAGTGTCTTTCCTTTCCTTGGTATGTGAATCTTTTTCCATGTGTGTTTTGCTGTTCACACTTGTGTGAGAGAATACTTTATGCTTGTGCCCCTCGGGGTGTGCCTACAACTGTGCTGCTCAGTCTTCTGGGGCATGAAGAGTAGAGGGGCAGCAGCCTTGGTTCTCTTGGCTCCCATCATAGAAATAATGATCGACGGTCCAATTTACGCTTCAGCTTCTGGTGCCAAGCTTGCACAGCCAGTGGTTTTGGTAGACTCCAAGGAGTATCAGGGAGGTGTCGCAGTTCCTTCTCTCTCTAGCCGACTGGCATACCCAACTGCTACACGTGCTCAGACTCACAGCGTAGTGTCAGAATTGACTCGGCTTGTTTCAGGAATCGAAAAGTCAGAAGTAGGTGAGCTGGCACCTTTGACAGTAATTCTTGGGTCATATGCTGGGGTCAAGGGAAGAGTATTCTGATACGTTTTTGACTGGGGAATCTAATTCTTTACCAGTAACATCATGGAGGGATGCTTTTTGGCAGCAAGCTGCCGTGGGATCCTTCTGCCACCGGTCTGTGGTTCTTGCAGATGGTTACTACCTTGAGTTCCGAGCTGTGGGAAAGAGGGTTAGCAGAGGTAAGGGAGGTGTATTCCTGCAGGGGCGTCTTGGCTAAAAATAACATGCCCAAGAGCGCTGGTTACTGTAGGGTAACTGTTCTTTTTTGGCAGAACTCCCAAAATGAAAATGGTGTTATTGTATTGAAGTACTGTTTCAATCTCGATAGATTTGAAATTGCTTTTGAGCTTCCTCCCCCCGCCCTCGTTCTGTTGTTTAGATTAAAATGTATTCTGGTATCCACTGGGCAGGCAGCCAGGACTGAATTAACAGCTTCCACTGAAAAGCCTTTGTGTGTTCCAAGGTTTTAGTGTGCACTTGTTTGACACGAATATCTCGGAGTTTGGAAGGTATCATTCCTAAGTGTTACCAGTACATAACACATTATGTACTCTTCCCCACCCCCCCAGCCCCCCCTTAATTTGTGTTAGAAAGGGTCTGCAGACCTTTCTGTAATATCTTCTTGAAAAATGAATTTATTTGAAAATTGGTTTAATGTTTTTAAAGGGTAGTGAAGAGAGTAAGACCCTTTTTATTTTACACATATATGTGTAGACACATCTTCCTTTGATAGAAGTGAAGAGTTTATTGAACAGCTACAGAATGATGCCTGCCACTTTCACTTTTCTTTCTTAATCTGTAGTTTAAAAATGAGCCGAGTGAAAAGTTAATTCAGTTCTTTCCTGTTAGTTGTGTTTATTAGACTCTCTAACTTTACCAGAAGTGGCTCATGCACAAACACTTGTTTGCACACTATAACTTCTACTGTGTTCTGTAACCTCTACTTCCAAAATACCCGCCTGCTGTGTTCAGCAAAGCGTGTTAAAGGCCCTGTTCTTTGGCCCATCACCTCAGCATGTACTTTAGTTCCATTCTCCTTTACTATATCGTGTCATAATGGTTGGTAAGGGGGTCGGTCATCTCAATACTTCTGTTGCCCTGTAGGCAGTGTCGGGCTGTGAGTCTTACAGGAAGGAGTCGCTGTTGCTTTGAAATGATCCCTTTTACACAAGAGTTACTGGCAATTAAGCAAGTGGCAAGTTCAAAGAGATTTTCATTAATCTTGCCAGAACTTTAATTTTGTCGCCGTGTTTACTTACCCGGTTTGGTGTTGGAGAGCAGCGTCTCCTGCCAACTGACGCGGTGTTCTTCCGAAGGAACCCTCAGCCGTAAGGAGTGGGCCCGGGCTCCTGACACACAGAATTGGTGGGAAGAGTGTCTGTTTGTCTGTCTCGAAAGACCCAAATGGTGATTTCATCTACTTGTATTGCACAAACATCTGCCTCTATCTTTTTAATACGAATGTTCATCTGGTTTATGATTTTTTTTCTAAGCCTCCCTGTTGTAAATTAATTTCTGTACTTTAACGTCCTTGATTGAAGGCTGAGGATACAGGACAGGGTGAGGGCCTTGTAGGGGGCCTACAAGGAAGCTGGGGGGGAATTGTTACAAGGGCCTGCAGTGACAGGACAAGGGGTAGTGGGTTTAAATTGAAAGTGGGGAGGTTTAGATTGAATATCAGGAAGAAATTCTTCCCGGAGAGGGTGCGGAGCACTGGGACAGGTTGCCCAGAGAAGCTGTGGATGCCCCATCCCTGGGAGTGTCCAAGGCCAGGCTGGATGAGGCTTGGAGCAACCTGGTCTAGTGGAAGGTGTCCCTGCCCATGGCAGGGGGGTTGGAACTGGGTGATCTTTAAGGTCCCTTCCAACCCAAACCCGTCTGTGATTCTGTGATCTCCATAGTTCTGAGCTTCTGTACTGCTTGAGTAAGGAGAAGCTGTCAGTGAATGCTGTTATTAGCACTCCCAGCCTAACAGAGTCTTGAGCAGCAGGACATTGTACAAGGGTGCTGTGTAGGTGCTAAGTTTTGCCCTTAACCATGTCTTGGCGCCGCTGCCGGCACCAGGGGATGCAGCAAGTACCGAGTCTGAGGTGGGCGTTTTGTCCTGTTGCTGGCAGCGTGCAGTGAGCAAGGCGAAATGACGCCGCAACTCCGAAGTCTTTTGGACTAATTTGGGTCTGATGTCATGTTAAAAGGCATTTTAAAAATATAGGGAGACCGAGAGGAAGGGAGTAGATTTTTTTTGAAAATGCAGAATAAATACAGCATTCCACTGGTGACATCTTGTCAAAAGACATTCAGAACAGGTCTTGTCAAATGCGGAAGATGACAGTAGTGAGAACACCGAGGGTACGCTGCCTTACGGATTTGCTGACAACTCACTGGGAATTTGTTGGGAATGAGAAGAATTTTAGGAATAAGCCACTGCTTTATCAAACTTGTTTTCCCATTGTGGTGTGAATCTCTTGCTTTATGCTGAAAGATACCCTTAGTGAAAATGAACTACTTGTTAAAGAATGCGTCTGTCTCCTACTGTTGTCTTGAAGGCGGCTGTCATTTGTGGTGAAGTTGTTTCTCATGCTTGCGCCTTTTATACCAAGGTTCTGGGAGTTTTTCGTAAATTGACTGATTTAAATCTTGCATAAATGAAAAATACCAGTAACTTTCCAGAATTACCCCTGCTGAATGAATTTTTATTCCTGTTGGAGGTTACAGGTAAAGTCCACCACCTTTATGGCTGAAAGGATGGGTTGGGGATAGAGGGTAAATGCAAGCAGTAGTGAACTTCAGTTTTAGTTAAAAATAAAAAAAAAAAGTGGTGCAATTGCTCTAGATATTTAATCTCTTTAATAATTGTTATTAGAAGGAATGTGCATATTGATAATTGGAATGTGCTAATGCTTCAATGTAATAAATCTGAAAAAAGGCAGCACAAAACAGATATTGGTTAATATTGATGAAATAAAGGTATATTTTGCTTCTCATGGGATATATTCTGTGAAATACTGGGGCAATCTTCATGTGTTCGTAGAATTAAGTTTATGGGAAAGAGGGTGCCATGATTATGTTGAAAGCTGATGCAGGACCGGTGTAGACCTGTTGGTGAATTGAGTAGTCAAGTACAGCCGGGTCAGGAGATGCAGCTGTACAGGAGGCTGGGATCAGAAGGTAAGGAGCATCAGGAGTGGTACAGGGGGTGATTTTTATGTAAGGCAGCTTAAGATGGTAGCTCAGAGCAATTACATGTAGAGTTATTAAACTGAGATTACCTCCCTATTTGCTACCCTCTTTAAACAACCTCGATATGTTCTGTGGACATGTAAATGTATTATATCTGGGGCTTTATGCCAGCCAAATAATATCTGGAGTGATGTTTTGTGCTTAAAGGCCTCTTGCAGGCTGTGTGCGTATTGGATAAACAAGGAGGAAAGAATGAAAGAACATAAATGAAATTGTCAGTAGCATCAATCATTGATCTGTTGGTGATGTTTGATAATTGCTTTTTATCAGGCTAAAGCATATATAATGTGGTACATTTCCAACCGGAGAGGTTTCCGGTTGGTTTATATTCTACTCGGCGGCGCGGGGGGGGCAACTAAGCAAAACCCAGCCTTGTAGTAATTTTCAGTTGGAAGCCTCATTTGCTGTCAGATTATGTTTAAATGTTACAAGCTAGTGAAATTCTTTGGCCAAGAGAGATCAGGCTGAGCAGGGCTGCCAGCTTGATGTGATATTTCAGATGGGGATTTTTCGTTGTTAATTTGCAGTTTAAACTGGTGTGCTGCGATTTTTATTTAGCAACGTAGGAGTGTGTCTGTGGTTTGCAGTAGTTAAGAGTTGCTTTTTACATCCCTAGCATGACAGAGTCAATTAAGTACGTTTTTTCTGCTTCTGTTGTAAGTAGGTGCGAATTTGTGTATGGCTGTAGGCGTTCTGAAGTGAAAGGTTTATCATGTATGTAAAATCAGCTTATTTTTGCTTATGTGAAGGACAGCCGTAGGTCTTGCAGGCAGTCTTTTGGGTGTATAGCTATATGTGTACGTACTTTATGACATGAAAACTGTTGACAGAAAGGGAAAATTATGATGTCCTTTACAGTACCTAAATGTCAGTTAAAGTGGCCTGACAACAGATTTCTTCATATTTTTTCTTTTCTTTATTTTTCCTGTATTTAGTAATGATCCCACAGATTCCCTGTCATATTCACTCAGTGTCCTGAATTTGCTTGTTAAATTTCTGGAGTGTCCGGTGGGGTTGGTTTGCTGGACGTGAGAGGAGGCTCTGGCCGAAGGCAAGCACAAAAGGACGAAACACTTCACTGCTGCGCAAGTGGCGGCTGAAGCTAATGCGTGGTGACGTGGGCTGCATGGTCAGCCAGAACAGAGTTTCGGCTTAGGGCGCACGAAGATTGCTGGGATCACAGTGTCAGCTCTGATTTCAATTAAGTCTTTGCAAAGAGTTCTGTGCGTAGGTCCTTCGGCTTGACAGCTAAGGTCTTTCTTGTAGGATGCATCAATGTACGGTTGTTATTTACTGAAATATAAGAAAAAAATAAGACGACTGAACTGTAATCTTCTTAGAGCTGTGTTTTTGAACAGGATTACATTTTTTCATAAAAACTCAGTATTAATGTATTTTCTTTTTAGAAATAGCATCTTGTGTTCTCATGTACAGCAAACCTCGGGGCTAGATGCACAGAAGCATCTGAGGCTGGAAAGAAGCTACACGGCCGTGTGCACATAGCACTGTCCTTGGCTAAGTTTCTCGAAGCCGCTGCTGGACGCCAGCTCATGGGGGTGCAGTACCACTCGGTGTGGATTGACCGGAGGAAATTCCTGCCAGCGTAGGGACCTCTGTGCTTCCCACTGCATCCTGCAGACATCCCTCAAACGCCTGTGCTGTTCTTGCTCACAGTTGGTTCCATTTGATGGCTTTGATATTTCAGCATAGAATCACAGAATGGTTTGGGTTGGAAAGGACCTTAAAGACCATCCAGTCCCACCCCCCTGCCATGGGCAGGGACACCCTACACTTCACGACACCTTCCACTAGACCAGGTTGCTCCAAGCCTCATCCAGCCTGGCCTTGGACACTTCCAGGGATGGGGCATCCACAGCTTCTCTGGGCAACCTGTCCCAGTGCCTCACTGCTCTCTCTGGGAAAAATTTCTTCCTGATAA